ATATGGAAGTGACTTACACGTCCACTGACAGATGAATGGACAAAGAGGACATCACACATGCACACACACGCGCGCACACACACACACACACACACACACACAGTGGAATATCATTCAGCCACAAAAAAGAATGAAATCTTACTACTTGCCACAACGTAGATGAACTAAGAGAGTATTAAGCTAAGTGAAATAAGCCTGACAGACCAAGACAAATACCACAGGATTTCACTTGTGTGGAATTTAAGAAACAAAAGAGCAAAGGGGAAAAAAAAGAGACAAACAAAACAACCAGACTCGTAAATACAGAGTGCAAACTGGTGATTACCAAAGGGGAGGTGGGTAGGCAATGAGCGAAATGGATAAGGGGAATGAAGAGGACACTTCTATTGATGAGCGCTGAGAAACGTATAGAATTGCTGCGCCGTTATATTGTGCACTGAAACTAATATAACACTGCATGTTAATTATACTTGAATAAAAAAATTAAAACAAATAAGGCTTCTACCTGTCAAGGTTGTAGATCTGAAGATAAGGCCAAGTATCTAAAGAGGTTTTTTTTTTTTCCCCCTCTAGAATTGAGTTAAAGTATTTTCTGCATAGGTAGAAAATGCTGACTCATTGGCTTTGCTCTGGAGTACTATTTGCTGACCACAGTCCTCATCTGTGGGCATGAGAAAGAGAAGGCCACACACAACTTTGGTTTCTACAACATGGTGGCATTCTTAAAACCGGAAGCGATATGTGAAGGGAGACTGAAGAACGAGAAAAACTGTGCTTCATCCACCCTTAAATCTTCCTGAAAATCGAGGTAAGAAAGGAAGATGAAAAATTCATTCCTTTCGACAAATGAGTCTTTAACCTACGGAGTGGTTCATTTTGAAAAGGAATTCGATTCTGGGCCCACGTATCACACATTCAAGATAAAATGTGTGCTCTCACCTCCCACTAAATACGTTGCTATGACTTTTAAATGGAGAGAACATTTAACAAGAGGCAAACCAGGGAAGGGGAGATCTAACTCAGACATCAATAATTCATTTATCAGAAATAGGAGTAGCGGTATGAAATGCCAGGAGACTCTTTCATTCGCAGGGAGGCATTTCTATTTTAAGCCTAGAACAACGCAGTCACCTGTATTCAGCAAGCCAATACAAATGGAGGCAAACCTGAACGGGAGGACACATTTTGTGGTCTCCTCGAGTACGGCTATTGCTATAGCACCGGTTACGGGGGATGTGAAAAAGTGACAAAAAAGGAATCTTTACAACTTTTGTACTTCAGAGGTGATTTCCGTCACCCCAAAGCGTCAGCACTAGACATGTAACCGTGTCAGTCTAACAGAGATGATTGGCATGGAGTTTTGAGGGTGCAATCTCTTGGAGTCCTAAAACCCATCAGGCATTAGAGCTTCGTAAGTCCTCTGCTAATTAAACCCGTTGGTGAGCTGCCCAAATTATTTCATCCTCATATCCCCCAAGCATTTAGCCCAGAGCCATTCACCAAGTAGGGTCTCGGTGAATACCTGATGGGTGAATGAACAAATGCGGCTAAGTATGAAATAATTCCAGATACATACTGGTCAGACCATATAAAGAGGAGATATTCGCATATCGTGGCCCTCAACTATTGCTTTCTGATGACGATTAGAAATTCCTCCCCTTCACTATCATACAGCAAATTCAAAGATTCATGCTCTGCTGAAGGAGATGGGGAAACGGAACTGAAGAAAAGCAGATTTACTGTAGACCGAAGGAGCCACAGCCCTCAGCACCTAAAGCCACAGAGAAACCTACCGAAACTTCTAACCCTGGAAATAAACGAAGACCTCCAAGTATTAGATTAAATTAGAAATGTTCATATGCACATATCTGTTGAGCAGATTGTAATTTTTAATTGATTATTTTTTTAATGTTTATTTACTTTTGAGAGAGCGAGAGAGAGACAGAGTGGGAGTAGGGGAGGGGCAGAGAGAGAAGGAGACACAGACTCAGAAGCAGGCTCCAGGCTCCAAGCCATCAGCACAGAGCCCGACGCGAGGCTCGAACTCACAGACCACGAGATCATGACCTGAGCCGAAGTCGGACGCTTAACCGACTGAGCCACCCAGGCGCCCCTTTAATTGATTACTTATCAAGAAGCAGATATAGGAAGAGAGCACACAATTATAATAACGACTATAATTATCTAGCACCTAATATGTAGTCAGTTTTATTATGCTTGGTGTTTTACATGTTTTACTATTCGTTAGAAGCATTATTATGATTTTAGAGATTAAAAAAAAGCACTAAAGCTCAGAGTAGTTAGGGCTAAAGATTATGAAGCTAATTCAGGAGAACCAAGGGTAACTGTCAGCTCTTCTAAACTATAAACCTGCTGCTAATTTCCTGATGCCAAGTGACTTCCATTCAAACAGAATTATCCAGCTACAGATCCATGCTTAAAGACAGATCCATCAATCACATCTATAATTACGGTCTAATGAGCAGAGAGGATATCTTAACCCCAAATGCCTGACGACACGCTTGTGTTTGGCCAAAAAGAAAATCAGGCGGCTGAGAGAAGGGAGGGGGACATCTGAGGCCCCAGGTCACTCTCAGAAAACAAAGGGAGGGGACGCTGGGGCGGTGTCCCTCTGTAAGTGCCCTGTTTCACTGTCAAGACCACAGATGTAAGCACACGTCTAGAACAATGCCCGTGCGCGCCAATAGCTAAACCCACGCTGCACTCAACGAACCACGGACGGTACTTCGAATGGGTCAAAACAGGACACGCTAAAATCTGCCAGAGTGAGAGGACCCTGGCCATGCTTCTTAAAAAAAACAGGCCTTGGGGCGAGCCAAGTTTGAAAGGAAGTCTCGCAAAAGATATGGTTTTCACAAGGCAGCCCGTGAAAAGCCCTCAAAGCCAATACTCAAAGAACCGTCTGTGTTAACGACAGACTCCGTGGTCGGTGACGTTGGCCGCATGTCAGACACACCCTCTGAGAACAGTCACCGTCACCACGAGGGTTTCAGTGCAGAAAATCACCACATGTAGATTCAAATAAGACCGTCGAGGGAACAAAACACGTTTGGCTTCTACCTATCGCCCCTCTTGTCCCTCGACATCCTGCACAAATACACTCCGGGTGTGAACATGATCTAGTCTTGCCTGTGTATTTCCTGTTTCTCTTTGCTCTGCACACATGTTGACGGGATAAATTAAGCCAACGGATATAGTATAGTAGGATTCCCCTACGTGCTTGCCTTGAAAACCCAAATTTCTTCCAATAATGCCACTAACATATGAGACAACAATTTAAGGATACTGTGAAATTTGCACGTGTCAACGCACAATTTTGCCCCAGAAACTCCAGGTGAACGGAGCAAACGCACCTAGCTCTGTGGGACTACACGAACCCTGCAGGGATGCACACCCCAGGATCACCATCGTCCACGCTTGTCCACACCTGCGGCTGCTAGTCCCTCTTGGATTTCAAGCACCCCACCTTCCGCTTCGCGGTACCTGGCAAGTTGTCGTATTTCCGAAGACCATCCTGTGGCGGGGGGGCGGGGGGGGCGGCGGGGTGGTCGTCTGTTCTGTTTACTTTTCCCTTCAGCCCCCAACTGGCTAATTTTCCTCTCTCTTCTTTGTTCTTTTTCAGAATTTTAGTCTTTACCTCCATTGTTTTCTCTTGCACACAGAGCGGCAGGCACCTCAGCAGGAGTCGACGGCGTGCATTGTCTCAAATTAGAACCCTTTGTGTGAAACTCACTATAACTTTAAGCAATGTGATCTGGACAGGAATGACTAGGACTGAAAGAAAACTATCCAGTGTAATTTAGGTCCCTTTCTTCTTTTGTTTAGAAGCTTCTGCAAATTCTATCCAAATCGTGATATTTATTACTGCTTTCGCCACTGAACCCGAACTGTACCATTTACTGAATTATTAGCAAACAGCATATTTTCCACAGTAACATTTTGAGGCTTCTTTGTAGGTGGTGAAAAGAGAAAAAGAAAAAGAAAAAAATAGAAAACCCCGCGTACAGTCACAATTATCTAGGTCAGATGGTTTTATCTAAACTTATTGACTGACTTAATCAAATAATACTGAGAAATTTTTCCCAAAGACAAGGGCTGGAAATAGCACATAATAAATGGGCAAAACACTTCTCTTTGCTACTTTTGAGATCCTAAACTAAATCATGTAAGTAAAAATTGAAATGATAGTATTTAAATCACAGCATTATTCTGGAGGAGCTTTGCGGTTAAAGGAAAAGAAAGCTAATGTGATCTAGAGATTAGAAATATCTACTAATCCTTTAAAGAATCTGGGTCATCTTAAGCAAGAAAAACCATTCCCACTTACTTTCTCAAGAATGTTCAGATATCCCAAGGTATCGAACGGATGTGCATTTTCATTTGCTCTCACAAAAACTACTTTACTAGCTGGAGAGTATGAAAGTGGTTAAATGGGTTTCTATGGCTCTTGACTGTGAGGATATAAAGGGTAATGGGTTCTGTACACGGCAAACCTTATAGGTATGTCATGTATATTAGCAGAAAACACAATCACTACAGAAGAAAAAAGAAGCAAGTAAGAAAGCCCCTGGGAGAGACCTTAAGCACGGCAGTCAGTGAAATTTGTTGAATTTAACAGAATCAAGTAACTCTTTGGGGGCATGCTTTGTTTTGCCTCTCATTTTGAACCCCTGCCCCAGCCCCCCAAAATGGGTCACAGGCCAATTACCTCTGGGGGGGGGCAACATGCCCCAACTGTGCCCTCGAGAGATGGAAACACTGAGTCTTGCCCCACGGTTTTCTCTGCAACCACTCTTACAGTATAGACCACCCCTTTTCACGACCCAGAAGCCTCAGCACAAAAAGACACTCGTTCACCTTGGAGCAAATTTACGGATCATTTGTTACCAAGGATTTCCAAGAAGACACTCCCCTCAGCAGGAATAGAAAACAAAAATCTCTGGCGGCCACGCACCAGCCACCCCTCCGCCAGGCCTTACTTGTTCTCGTTGCTGGCATCGTAACGAGGCATTGGGTCCAGATCATTCCCGTTCACGTCACAACTCGCCAGGGCATCCTAGAGCCACAGAGGAGAGAGTGCAAGGAGGAGACAGACGTTTAGTAATTAGCCATTAATCTGAAGGCTCATGCATTCTTAAACACATTTCTGCAAGCGAGTAATTAGATTAAATAATACATTCATGGTCCGCTGATGTCAGGATGCCTTGTTCAGTAATAATCAGTGTCATATTTTTCTCCTTAAGGTCAAGAAATACTCTCCACAGACCTAGGAAGAACACAGACCATTCTTGCCAATACATCTTCCCTCATATCTAGAATGGACCCCTCACCCGATTCCTTTGAAGATGTCCGCAGGGACTGCCTTTTCGGTCAAGAATTCTTGGGCTTTCTAGAAGCAAAGTGATTTATTTCCCATGAGTTCCCTCTCTATACCTTATTTCACTTCTTGGGTAAGTTCTTTAAAATTCGAAGATTTTTGAAGGCAATTCACAAACAGTTGGCAAGCCAATTAAAAATCAATGTTAGAAATCTATTCTAGTCGGTATCATGGTACCTCTATCAGGCAGCATTTGCCTGGTTTCAGAGGTCGTATCTACTATAAAAGAATCTGTACCTCAGACTTTTCAGTAATACCCAATCACCTTTTGCTCCAACCAAAATAATGAACAGTTTTATTATATGTCAAGGCTTCAAAAGAAGACAAAAGTAGCTGTGAAATCGAAATTGGATCTGTTCGCTTTTATTTTTAATTATTTTTTTTTAGATTTTTAAGTTTATTCATTTCTTTTTAGAGAGTGAGTGAGTAAGCGGCGGGGGTGGGAGGGAGAGAATCCCAAGCAGGCTCTGTGCAGCCAGCACAGAGCCCCAACATGGGGCTCGAACTCACAAACTGCGAGATCATGACCCGAGCCAAAAACTGGAACTGGACACTCAACCAGATGAGCCACCCAGGTTCCCCTGTTTGCTTCTATTTTTATTATTTGTTTTTATTTTAGAGAGAGAGAGAGAGACTGGGTGCAAGCGGGGGGCAGAGAGAGAAAGAGACAGACAGACAGAAGCCTAAGCAGGCACTGCACTGAGTATGGATCAATCCGATGCAGGGCTTGATCCCATGACCCTGGGATTATGACTTGAGCTGAAATCAAGAGTCAGATGTTCAGCCAACTGACTCACCCAGGCGCCCCTAGATCTGTTCGCTTTTAAAAGCAATTGTGAAAAATCTCCAAATTTCTAAATTCCCAAAAAGAAATTACCAGCTTACTTCATCACTCAAATTTGTATCACTGTAGGTAGCACTAATTTAGAATGCTCTGGATTTTCCGATGCTTTAGGGTAATGTCTACGGTATTGGTAAAAGTAAATGTTATCTTTGTTTTCTATCTTTATCAAGGCTCTTGTTTCTGAAACTAACTTGTGGTACAGAGTCTGATGTCTGGAGAAATTAAGCAAAATGCACAGGACATATAAAGGTGGTGGGTAAGTCCCTGCTTCTCGTACAAAGGTGGCCCCGTAGCCCCCCCGCAGTGGTCACTAGAGCATCGAGTATAACTTCCTGATTTTCCTTGTAAGGAAACAGAGGCCTAAGACAGGTTAAGTAACTTGGCCAAAGGCGTGAAACAAACCAGCCTGTGGAACCAAGACTGGAACCCGGGCCATCTGCCTACCCCCTGACCCCCCGTCCAATGGGCTTTTTCTCTACACTTCACCAGCTCCAACATCAAGACAAACTGAGAAGGCACCGGTACCGCTAATCACAGATACATTCTGGAGAATTCTTCCCAGGAGGAAAAACTGAAAAAAGGCAAGGAATGCAATCGCAATTAGAGTAAAGCTATCTGTGTTTACGCAAATACATTCCTAGGCGGAGGGGAGCAGGAACACCCTATAAAAAAGCACACTGTGCGTGACAGGAAAGACTTCTCTGCTGAGAGAGGTACCCACAGTTCTGTTCTCTTCTAGGACCCGGGCTCACTCACTGTGGCCTTCAGGCCTCCATTTCTCCCCTATCATCCGAGGAGACTGAACCGAAATTTCTTTCTAGCTCTCAAATTCTTTGCTGTGAAGAGACAGCGCTATGTCTGGGTGTGCTCGGCGGCAGGGTGAGAGCAGCCGCTCAAATGTTTCGTTCAAATAAGAACTGAATGAATTTGCAGTTCCTCCCTCTCTCTCTTTTTTAACCCGAGGGACAGTCCTCTAGTTTCGGGGAGATCGTTTCAGTATTTCATTGTAAACAATGAATCTGTGAAGTCCCTTGGCGGAATTTTTTTTGAAACCAAAAGGGCAACGGGGTGGGACACCGTGAGGGAAGGTTCTGGTGCAAGGCGACACGGGGGGGGGGGGGGGGGGGTTGCGTGGGAAGGAAGGTCTTCCTAGGTCAGAGACAGGGGTGACTGTGAGCCAGAGCTGGTTTCGGAGGCGCCAAGGGACTGACTCGGAGGTCTTTTGTTTGCAGAGATAAAAATGGGGTCTCTTCAGGAAAATTCATTTAAGTGTCATGACGTGAGACGGAGCACATGAGAAGGCAAAGCTGCGGAGGATGGGGCCGTTTCTCCCGAAATGGTTTGTCAGTAGGTAAGAGAGAGACGCGGAGGAGAAATGGTCACAGGGGCACAGGGGCACGGTGATCCCGGGGTGCCCAGAAGCCAGGCCTTTCCACGCCGAAGGAGACAGAGATACAGGGAGATGAGATTTCAAGAAGGCATCATCACCCTGTCTCTGAAATGGGCCTCGGGGAAAAGGTCAGGTCCTTTCTGAGTGAGCCCAAGACAACATTCCTCAGGGTCACTCTGTGCCCACCAGTGACTGAGGAACATGCGAGAGAGAGAGAGAGAGAGAGAGAGAGAGAGAGAGACAACAGGCACACCGGGAGGAGAAGTCCTTTGTGCTAACACGCATGGGGAATGTACGGGCATGCCCTGTCTCGCAATTCTCTGCCAACTCAGGGCACAGTGTGACGGGCTGGGCCTGCTGAAGTCATGAACCGGAACATGGAAGGCAAAAGTCTGAAGCGATGTGGTCCTCCCACTCACATAGCTCAGGGTGGGTCCCCTCTGCAAGCGGGGGACAAGGCTTCCCACCCTGGCCCACGACTTTTCCTCCTTTAGGGTCAATAAGGGTTCTGCAAGGGGCAGCTGACTTTGCCACGATTTAGAGCTGCTTGTATTCCCGGGGATAGGAGAGGAAGCTTGCAAGCGGACAGAAAAGGCACCAATTTTAAGAGAAAACGTTTCTTCAACACCGACACGAAAATATAACTTAGGAAGACTCAACGCGACCCGGCCTTTGGAATCAAGAGGAATGGGGGAGGAAGGGAGGGGGAAGGTGGGTGAAAGCAGTTGAAGGGTACGAGCCACACAGGGGTATCAGTGCTCCTGGGTGGCAACAGAAAAGAGGTCCGAGGGAAAGTCAGAAGACATGGGTCTGAGTGGGATCCACCTGGAGTTTCTGCTGAGCCCGCATGGGAATCAGGGCTGTATCTGCAGATTAGTGGGGGATCGTTGTGGGCTCTCTGTAACAAAAGAGATATTTCAAAGAGAACCCTAAGGTGTCAGGCAACACAAATTGAGGCCAGACAGAGAATGGCATTGTTGCGAGATAATTGTGGCACTTTCGACAAAACTTGCAAAGGGGAAGCCAATGGAAGGAATGATCTTGGAGAGTAGAGGACAGAGGGTTCACTGATACATTTCCAGGCAGTGGATGTCACGGTGGTAAAGGAGACCCAGAGGCCCTAGGGGCAGAAACTGACCCCAGTGTTAGGTGGGCACCGGGTATCGAAACCAGGATTTTCAGGGCAAGTACTGAGCCTCAGCACTTTCACTAGGTCCGTGGTCTTGGGCTCATCCTATACTCTCCAAGAGTCCTGGAATCACTATTCCTTCCTAAGGAACTGACTGCTGCTTCCTAGGAGTAGTAGGAACGTGATCATTATTGTCCTGTGAAAACGGAGAGGAAGAAAGGGACCGGCTGGATAACTTGAGAAAAGTTCTAAGCCCGCTTTTCTCTGTACAAGAGACAGAGCGCGTTGCCTGGCTGCGTGGACGGATCACTGAGAAGAGCGGTCATTGTCAGTGGTGACTGGTGTTGGTGGTGGGGGTTTCTGCTGCCTTCTCACCTGCATTTTGTCATCAGAACATCAAAGGCACCTACAAGTGGAAAGCGGGGTCTCCTGCTTCCCGCGTTCGGAGGGCGTGGCTCGTCTAAGACGAAAGCACTACTCGGAGCCTACCGTCTCCGTTAGCTGCATTTTCCCGCCGTAGCCCCCCTTTTTGCTAATCCTGACACGAGTCCCCTTGTTTCCACGGGGGAGGGGAGGTGCTCCGACCACAGCCCACACTCACATAGTTCTGCAGCAGGTCCGGATGGGTTCTCTCGATGCCATCGTCCAAGATGGTCACCACGATGTTCTTTCCCGTGTAGCCTCTCTTCCAGGCTCCTTCGATATTCATGTCTGATTGGCAGGGATGCGTGTTGTCGCTGCAGTGCTATGGAAGGAAGAAGGAGAATCAGATGGCGCGGATTACCGATAACTGGAAGGTGCGCGAATCATCTGCGGGTCGAGATCGTGCACTGAGTTAGCAGAAATCCGGTGCCCGCCTGCAGAGCCGGAGCACGGGCCTCTAGCACAGTAACAGGAGGAAGTAGGAAGGGTGCATGTGGGGAAGGCAAGCGAAAGAGAAATCTCTCCCGCCGGCTCTGCCCTGTCCAAATACCGTACATCCTTTGGGAAAAATGGAATAAAAGAAAAGTATATCCCGACAGCAGAATAACGGATGTATCCCTTGATTGTTAGCATGAATCGATGGCACACGGGAAGGCATGGTGACATTTCATTTATAAACTCAACCTAGGTAACTAAAGAACATGTATTTTATAATTTCTTCCCCAGGCACCTGGAAACCAGGCTAGCCAAAAAAAAAAAAAAAAATGAGAACTCAGGCAGCTTCTGGACAGTGTCAGCCAGAGGTGTGCTACCATGAGAAACTCACGGACGGGAAGAAAAATAACAGTTTTGTTGAGCTGCTTTTGATGAATTCACCACGGCGGTCGTACCAAAATACGTAGGGGGCAAACACACTCAGTCAGCGGCGCTTTGAGAAGGGAAGGAAGAGTCCGGACAGGTAACACGCACAGGAAAGGCGTGTGAGGGCTTCAGAGGGCAGGCTGGAGAAACACGGACGCTTAGCACGTTACGTATCGTCATTTCGTTCCACGATGGCTACAACATATAAACACATCAAGACATGCATTGACCCAGGGCCTCCTCCTGACAGGCCAGCATTTGCCCAACCCATACAGTTGCCTCCTCGGAACGTCTCTCTCTCCAATGTCCCTCTGAGTGGCGTTGTCTCCTCGGTAGGGAAACAAAGCGACAAAGATGTGCTGTGACTTAATGCCACCCCGGATCCTACCATTCTGGATCTTCGCGAAGGGGAAGAGAATGCAAGCTCCGGAGGCTCTGGGCATAATGGAGATCCGGCTGCCATGGACTCATGTGGCGTACGTTTTATTGAGCACTTACTCCCCCCCCCCCCCCCGGGGTATGGCGGCGAACGAGGTAGATGAGGTCCCTGTTCCGATGACCCCTCTAAAGAGGAGACAGACACAGGTAATGAGGAAAAAAATAAGTAACACCATTCAGAGCCCTCCGTGGCTTTTAAAGGAACTAAAGAGGGTGATACGATGGTGAATGCCGAGGGACACCACTCTAGGCGGGATGGGAGGTGGGGCCCTTGGTCTCAGGAAGTGAAATCACACCTGATGCCTGGTTGGTGAGAAAGGGCTGCTCTGCCCTTAGCCTACAGCTAAGCGTGTCGGTAGAGGACACGATAGATGCAAGGGTAATACAAGATGGCAGACAGCTTAGCACACTGAAGAACGAGAAACAAGGTGGCGTAGGGCGGAAGCTCGGGGACCGAGGGAAAGAATGGCTTGGAAGACAGCCAGTTAGAAGGGGGAGCGAGGTCAGACCATCCATGACCGGGCTTTTGTACTAACTGCACGCTGAGTAAATGGAAGCGCACCTCTCTCCAAACTTCATCCATCAAAATCCGACGCTAACGAGAGTCAGATACCTCTAACAGCCTGTGACATGAATTTGCAAATTTATTCTCCAAATGAGACTGCCTTTTATTGACTGTTACAAACGCATCTGAGTAGTGGATTCATTCTAACAAAGGGCACACCCATTTTTCACCACAGATAACATCAGTTTCACAGAGAACGGGGGCTCATCTATTTTATGAACACTTGTCTCTTTTTCTCACCGTCTGGACTTCTTTCGGACACGCGAGGCCCTACACACACACACACACACACACACACTCTACTACGGCACTGACCCAAATTCCGTTCTCCCCACCTGCCCCCAGTTTTCTAGGCACAACTCAGCACCCACCTCTTCCCACAAAGACTTCTCATGTCCTTCAGCCCTCCTCGTCTGTCTCTTCTCCTGCCCTGAACTCAGGGGTGGAGACAGACACATACACAAACACAGGCTGCCCTACACAATCCGACTCCTACTCACTATATTCTGTTGAATCGTTGTTGACTGTTGCCTCTTGTGTGTGGACTTTGTCTTATGGATTGTGGGCCCCTACAAGACTATGCATTAAACGAAGCCCGACCTAGGATTTCAGGCAATATCGGGCTGGTCACACGCCAGAAGTGAGGGCATATCCTCAACCTTATTTCCAAGTGCACCGCCGCGATGAAACTCTCTGCTCTGACCTCGTCAGAGATACCTAGCCGGCTAATCCTCGGTGAATGGAGACGATCACGAAAGGAACAGTGTAGATTTCCGAAATGCCTCCGTTGTCCAGAAGTCTCATTCTGGCCAAGAGTGTGGGCCTCTCCTCACCGAACACTGTAATGTAACACAAAGCAACCTTGACAGGTTTCCATTTCATTTTCTCTTTTTCAAAACCTGTTCTGGCCACCTGTGGTATCGTTTGCGAAATGAAACAATGTTAATGTGGCCAAGAGGTGGGCTGGAGGAAGGAAATGCGCAGGAAATGGGTAACCCACAAATGGGATAACCATCCTGGAGTGGAGGGATGCTGCCTGAAATTGTAATTATGAAAATTGAAGAAAACCAGCCGTCTATGGAAAACATGTGTGTTAAAAGTGAAGCAATTAGGTTTCTTTCTTCCACCTCTGCTTCCGTTGAATCTGACTTTAACAGATTAAATATTTTTGTGCCACCTTTTCTTCTTTTCATCTGCCAACATGGAAGGGGAGGGAGAGGAAATATCCAATTGATACTTTCATTTGGATAATCTAATACAGCAAGGAGCCAAAACGTCAAAGGAAAAAATAAATCAGAGCCTGGAGTGTTTCTTGCAAATGAGTAATTAGGTCAGAGGACCCTTAAATCAGAACCCTAAATTCTGAATGGGATCCTTAGATTTTTAACACATGTTCATATATATATACACACACACATATATATATGTGCATATATATATATGTGTATATATATATATATAACATTTATTAATTTTTGAGAGACAGAGAGAGAGCATGAATGGGAGAGGGGCAGAGAGAGAGGGAGACACAGAATCCGAAGCAGGCTCCAGGCTCTGAGCTGTCAGCACAGAGCCCGACGCGGGGCTCGAACTCACGGACCATGATGAGATCATGACCTGAGCTGAAGTCGGATGCTTAACAGGCTGAGCCACCCAGGAGCCCCTTTAACACATATTTTAAGTGTTCCAGACTTCCAAACATGTTTCTGATATGGTTGCTTCATACAACCAAGGTATCCAAAGAGCAAAGACTGGAAAATGTTGATGCGAGTCAACAATGACCAAAGATGAGAATTAATCACTTCCTTAACCGCCTTGTTGAGACGGTCTTTGAATCGGTCTCTCCTGGATGTGAATCTGTGTTACGGCATCGCCCAAAGGCAAAAGGGACTTAGAATAGCCATGATTTCCTCACAGTCAATCACATTGAGATCTCTGCCAGAGCTGAACCTAAAGACTGGTTTTTGAAATTGTGTTACCACACATGCAGTCCATAGACCAGTATTCACAAAAGAGGCCAGTCAGACCCTTCTAGCTATCCGAAGTTGATGAAAACCACATTACGTACGCAGTGTATGCAACATGGATTATTTATAGTAAACGTATGCACCTTCAGTTCTGAATAATGTACTGCCTTTCCATGATGGTCTATGCACAGGTGACTCAACATTTAGACACAACACAAAAGGGAACATACCTGCAGAAACAATGATTGCCACCTGTGTCTCCCACTTCCTCATCCATAAAAGCTTTTATTCTTTTTAGGAATGAAATTTTAAAGAGTTTGCTCTGTGAGTTTCTAGAAATGGCCTTTTCCACACCAGGGTTATGAGCCATTCTGCTTATAAACCACTCTGCGTGTGTCTGCTTTTCTTGTGTCCTCATAAACACATCACAGTGTTTGCTCATCGAAAGAACAGTTTATCCTGAAAATAAACACCTTTGCTATGTTCTCACCATTGTTTGGGGGGGGGGGGAGGAGGGGCAGAGGGCTACTCTCAGCGTCATTCTTTTTAAACTTCTCCAAGTTCTGAGGGTCTTCACTGGCCTGCCAAATTATATGCTCCCAAGAGCCATTAACACTGAAGTCATCTACTGTTCACTGTTACCAGCACAGTGGCTGATAAGACTGCATCTCTGACAACATAGTGTTAATAAAGAAATACATAAAAATTCTGCTTCACAAATTCAGAAACCCATCTAGTCAACTGAGTAAAGTGTGCACATACTTGAAATTCTTTGTAGAATGTGGAGTCCAAAAGATGCAAGAAATTGCAAACAAAAAACAAACACTAGAATCGATACTCCCTTAAGGGGAAATATAACTGACACCTACAAGATCCTTACCATGGCCAAGCATTGGACTAGCCACTTTTTGTGGTCTAAGGCTCAGAACAACTGTTTGAAGGCGGTCCTTTTATCATCTGCTTTTAACAGATTAAAAAAAAATGGGGCTTAATCAGTCTAGGCAACCCCTCTGAGTTCACACCGCTGGTCAATATTAACATGAGGATTCAAAAGGAAGCTGTCTGACACCAGACCATAGGGCTATGGAAAGTCTTCCATTAAAACAGAAGGGGCTTAGAGGAAGCCACAACACACACAAATCCATGAGTAGATAAGGAGTAGATGTTGGACAATGGAGCACCAGTAAAGAAATTCAAATCACAAATCTCACTTGCCTTAGCACTGTGATCAGTGCATTCCAGTGATAAGGTAGAATACAGATGAGTAAGACTTTAGGGACCTAAGTTTTCCTAATTCTACTTATTCCAACACATCTTTTAGGAAGTCACCTAATAGTTTCAATTTTAATTTTAATAGTTTCAATGACACAGGGTTCACTTCTTTACTAAATAGCCAATGATTGCTGGTAAATCAATTCTTTAATAAAAAAAGAAAAAAAAAAAGGAAGCTTGGGCTACATGCCTGGCTCGGTCAGAAGAACGCAAGACCTC